TCCCTATTTTTCCGGTAAATGTTCGCGGTGTCAGAAAACAGGACATGCAAACATAAGTTATGACAGTCTCTTTTTTCATATCCGAAAATCGCCGAAAGATACTGTTTATTGTTGCATTTCAGTGAAACGCCCCAAATGCTTGCAACGGGTCGGAAGAAAGCGGAAGTGAGGAGGGGCGCAAACTAAAGTCTCGACAAACTTTGTGCTCCTATTGTTCAAACATTCAGAATATTGTTAATTTGATGTTCAGCATGTATGCTTGACGTATCAACTTCTGACTGTAGCCACTGTGCTTCTTTTCTCGCCTTGTCCAATTCTTCACAGGCACTTTCCCTGCGCAGCTTTCACACACATCGCTGTGTTCTTTTCCTTCGCGGATATCCCGTTCCTCTGCATTGAACTGGCCGATTTGTTCGCTCCCACTTCCTCAAAAAATTTTATTCTCATTATTTTCTCACTCAATTCACAAACTGACGTTTGATCAGTGCTACGCTGATGGCGATGATCCCTCCTTCCTGTAGTTCCAGTTCTCCGAGAAGTTTTACGCGCACTGGATGGCACACTGTGCAAAAAAAAGACCTGAAGCGAAGCAAGTTTTGTTGTGAAAATTGGTCGAATATTTGACTCCACAAACAGAATTGCCTCGGCAACAGATAGCTTCAGTTATACTTGGAATACTTAGAGCAGTTGTAAGTTCTCCAACTATGCAGTTGACGACTCCTGCAGTTGCTTTGCCCAGTGTTATGTCACTTGGTGGTATACATTTCATATAATCCTGCCTGTTTCTTCTTTTCAAAATTGACTTCCTAATAAGGTCGATGGCTAGCGAACAAAATGCGACAAATCACTGGCCGAAGAGAGAGTGTAATTATATTGAAATTTGTCCACCAATCACGACCTGATCCATCCTTCTTGTTCTTGAACAATCAGCATTTACATTTATTTCGCTTTTGCGCGGATAACCAAAGTTAGTGATGAAAGCAGCTCCAAATGAGCAGACCTTTTTTGTCACTATTCTGATTTAGAAATTATTTTTATAACAAGCCTGGAAGCCTGGCTTTCAAGTCTGG